TATTTTCCAGCTAAAGTAGTCCTCTCAGCTAATTCGAAAAGATAGATTGGAGATATTAAGTTACCTGTTTTTCTATAAAAAGTGTTTATATGTATCTTTAAAGCTTTCTGCTTCAAATTAAAATAATCATAATTAAAACATACAGATGAATATTCTGAGATTAAGCTTTCTGAAACTTTTTTATCTCTCTCTTTAGCTGAACTTATTATCTTTCCAAGTTGTTCCTTTTTCTTTCCTAATAGGGCATGATGAGACTGGGGTATAATAAAGAGAAATCCAGCCCCATTATAGGCCTTCTTCTTTCAATCCCTTTTTTAGGCGAAAACACATATGCGTCAGGATACTTACCTTTTTCTATATTTTTGAATATTCTTATACTAAATAACATATCACATTTAAAAGCATAAGCATTTAAAAGGTTTTGAATCTTCATTCTATTTGCACAGTAGTGCAAGTCGAATAAAGATACATATGCTATAAAAGCAACCTCCTTATAGTCATTAATTACATTTTTTTTAACCATAAACTCCTGATAATACAATACATCTATAATATAATAATATACCACTTTACGCATGCCTATAGAAGAATACGATTCTCTCTGGAAGGCATTTACTTTTGCTTCTGAATAGATCCTTCACATTCTGTTGTATGGCATATCCACTTTACTATCAAGTTCACATTTTTTTAAGTAAAACACAAGCGAGCTTTTCTTATCTACTTCCACATAAGGGTAGAGTTTTTTAAAATATATGCGTACATCAATTAGCACACAGCCTGGTATTTTAAGAAAAGTGAAAACGAAATCTTCCTTTAGACAAATTTTGACCTTAATTAGCTGTATTCTAAAGTCTTCTTTCTTCTCATTATCAGTAGCACCTTTTTTCTTCTAAAAAGTATTTTTAGAATTTACTTCTACCTTTTCATAATAATCCTATTTTTGAATTTCTTCAGATGATTTAAAGCTTCCTGTCATCTGCTTTCACATCCATTTAAGAAGATTAAGTCTACAAGCTCTCTTCACAATGTATAGTCAATCATAATCAGAATCATTGAATCTGAGCTGGATATCAAGTTAAAAGTCTCTCTAGCATAATGCGAATGCCTTTAGTAAATTTGGCTGATTTCTACACATAACTGTTATCCAATGTGGGTCTGGTGTAGTTTCGAGATTGATAAGACAGATTTGTTTTAGCAGTTTTGAATCATCTTTTCAATGCAAGGTCATGCAAATCATAAATACAATATCCTCTTTATTATATACTTTAGCAAATTCTCCCAGCTCTCGTGATTACGTTTCTATATTTTAAGTAAGGATGAGCATACAATCTCTTATGAGTGCTAGAAGCAGAAAACGATCACTTATCATTTTTAACTCTGTTACCGCTTAAAATTATTTACAGAAACATGAAAATTATATGTATATTGAGGATGTTTTCTGTAAAAATACTTGCTTATTATAGACTAATCAGAAATTGCAATTCCATTCTCTCTAGCTATTTTACGGTAAAATAAGAATATATTATCTGATGCAGTTTTGAAATCATTATCTTGGATGATCTGGAGGACTTTCTTTCTATCTCCAGTACTATGTGTAAAAACTCGTAAATATAACTTTTTTTCTGTACGATAGTCACAGAAAAGAAGGCCTCGATAGGCTCTATTTTATAGGCATTTATATTATTACATTGAATTTCGTCTATTTTTATCTTAAAGTCATCTACAGATTCCTTTTCAGGTATGCGAATATCAAAGAATACCCAGATTTCTATAAGGATAACTACTACTTTTTGGTTATTAATAAGAGAATTGTAAAGATACAAAATATAATAGTTCTTTTCACTTATCTTTTCTGAAGAACCCCTAAAATCAACAACCATAAAAGGGATCTCTTCTTGTTTGGCTAAAGCATTGTTAAGAATTACAGATAACCTCTCATCATTTTCTGCTACTATATCATCATGGGTTGGAATGCCATTCAAGTAATTTCACCAGAATAGTAAATCACTTAGCCTTTTGTTTTATCTTTTTTAGCCTTTAGATGAAAAAGAGCAGGGGCGTCAAGAAACTCTGAAAGCTTAGATTGGGTCATAATATTTTTTTCAGAATATGATAACTAAATATATCCTTCAGTATAATACCCTAGGAAAAAAGTTTAAAATAAAAATAAATATTATTATAGATATCAAAGATTAACCAAAAATAATACTGAAGATAGACGATTCTGATGATATATTTATTTTCACTGATAATTACATTGCGAAGGGTAAATACATTTACCAGTATTCTTCTGATGAAGGAATAGTTTGTGAAAATGGAAGTACGTGACCAGAAGGGTATTATATTCACTAAAAAAAACGTCAGCGATCTTTATGCAAACAAGATAAGTATGTAAGACTGACAGCATCAAAATATGAATATTATAATTTGTATGTAAATAAGTCCTATTTGAAAGTATATTATCATCAGAAGAAATTAGAAAAGATACTTCAAAATAGATAGATACCAGAAGTATTAGAGCAGGCTCTTGATAAAATAAAAATGTCTGATACAATAGAGTGCTAGTCTTAGAAAAATCTGCCCTAGAGAAATCTACCTTAGAAAATTTTTGACTTTTAGAAGCAGAAGCGAAATAGCAAATTAACTTTATTAGGACGCTAGAATAGTTTCTTAAATGATCTACCCTAGGTGTCCTAAGTGACCTAGAAAAAATCAAACTTCTTTACTTTTTATTTTTTTTTATCTATAGGTATAGCAAAAATATAACATATATATAGTATATATATAGCATACCAATATATATACCAAAAAGATATCATAGAAAAATTTTGATTTTCTCAAGAACTTTATTTTTTACTAGGACACCTAAGGCATCTAAGAAAGATAATACAGGAACAAGATAAAATGAAAAAAGAACACTTTCTCCTATAACAAACTCCGCCTTAAGAAGTGTTTTAGTAAAAAATTTACTTTAGGGTATTCTAATCACGGACATAAATTTAACACAATTATACTAATAATAAATAGGCAATAGTTAGATCAGGATTAGCGATCCTAGCTTAATCCGTAAAGTGCAAGTCCTTATTGTAGGTTACACTGCAATAGTCATAGGTTCAGACCTCAGCTGAGGCATAAAACTAGATGATTTTTATAAGAATTTCATATGTAACTGAACACGTGAGCGTTTAGACTAATAAACATTAGATACTAGTTGATCAATCTGTCGATTGACGTTAATCATGCCTAAATACTGAGTTTGAAGAACATGTAGATGCAAATAAAACCAGAGATCGACAGAAACTTAGCCTTCGCTGACAGGTCTGTAATGGATACTGTCTCACGTCTTCAAATTCAGGGGCCCTTACACAAGTAAGGAAGTGATTAACCAGTAATTAGTAGATTTTGGTTCACCGTAAGAGACGAAAGTGCCTAAGGTAATAATAAACTGCATTATACGCTGCAGTACCTTTCAAATCAAATCATTACTAGGGTTAGAGGCTGAGTTTAATTCCCAGGTGAATTTGACGTTATGGGTACAAAACTATCATCTATGTAAAAGACTCAATCCCACGGTCTCGATAGTCATCAATAGGGTAAAACCCTATAAATTAGATTGGTAAAAATAGGGCCTGACAAGCTCTATGGTTGAAGTGAACTCTCTATCCAAAGGTGATAGTACTCAATAAGGTCTAGTGAGCTTTGTGATACAGAAATAACTTGTTATAAGGTAGTTTATACTAGATGGCAACCATACGGAGATATGCTTCTAAGCAGGTTGTCGTACCCCTTAATTGGGATCAGAGACTTTAAGAGGTTACTTAACGCAGGATCAAACTTGTCCTACTTAGAATATGCCCTCTACTAACTCTCTAGCTATCGCACATTAATATTAAAAAAAAAGGCAATAGTTGGGTCATAAATGATGCACTTCCAGCAATCAAATGGGTCTAGCTAAGATAATACATATTGCACCTTTAACTTTAGGATGCGAAATCAGCATACACATACTTGTAACTAATAGGCAATAGTTACATTGCGAAATGGTATACTTCTGGCAATCAAATGGGCTGACCATAATAATGCCTCCATTCCTGAAGGCAAAAAGATAGTCAAAAAGTAAAATTAAACTTAGCCAGTGATATTTGTAAGCCATCTAATGTGATTTGTCATCCTGTTGTAATAAGACCAGCTTCTAGACCATATCGTTCAAAATCTTCTTTATTAGTTTTAAGGAAAGTACAACCATTAATTTTTTTGCGAGTTCCAGAAATGTTCTGAAAAAGTTTCCATCACTAGCCTGTAACTATAAAAGGGTGTTCAGTACCGTAACAGATCACGTGACTGGCGCAGTAAGACGCAGTATAAAATCAGCCAGCACATAAATTTGGCCAGATCCTTGAACATAATAACTCAGCATCCAAGCTGGCCTGAAACTGGTGAACTAATAGAAATACTCTGGTTCCCTGCCAGTTCTATGATAGTTCCAGGACACTATCAAGTCACCATCATGGTGCCAAGCTGGACCCCACAAATCATGTGCCCAAAAGATTGGCCGAAATTATGGTATAGTGCCAGCCAAATTTAGACGCGGATTTACATTGAATTACTGCGCCACCCGTCACGATATTTTTTTACCCTACTTCGACACCTCAGATGCCAAATCAGGCTCTAAATAACCCCACAAAGGCATGAAAAACACTGCAGAAGACATAAAAAAATATTAAAAAAGAACTAGACTAATAACCCGCTATACAAAAAAATCGATATACAAAGAATCCCTGAATAGCCTCAAGAAAGGCAAGAATAAACAAAAGCAATCTAGCATTTCTGACCAACCATAAACCTCAAGTAAGATAACGACAAATCACACTATAGTAGAAATAAATAAAATAACCAAAGAAGAGGAAGCAAGCCGGCGAGCAAATAAAAAGATAAAGGAAAAAGAAAGGAAAGAAGGCCACCGTAACAAAAGTAGAAATAAGTAAGTAGAAAGAAAGAACTCAAAATAGACCAGCAAAAACTCGTAGGAGAATAAGAAACCAATACCCCGGTAACATGACGGTAACTAGGTAAAAGTCTAGCAGTAACTAGGTAACAGTCTAGCACAACTAGGTCATAATATATATATATTATGACCTAGTCTTATACCTCTCAATATTCTAGGCAACCTACAAACTCGAAGACGATAACGAAGAACTGATGCAATGTATAAAGAAAATAAAGCATAGGCTGGGAAATATGGGGATCATGCTTGCCGATAGCAATGAAGCCATATGTTGCGAGTATATTTCGGCCATTCTCCATGCTTCGCTCTATATTGTTAAAAGAACAACGAAAAAAGAGCTTACCTTAGCACCTCAGCTCGAAGTTATCAGCGAAGAAAGTACTGGTCGAGTTGATTACGCAATCAAGGCCCTCGAGGAACTTATCTGCATCACGGAAGGGAAGTTATATCAAGTGGTTATGGGATTCGCTCAAAATTTGATCCAATATGAAAGTGCGTTACAGGTAAATAAAAATATGAGAAAATGAAAGTCTGGTGAAGCCTTTAGGAAGGACTACGACTATATCTACAGGATTGTCACAACAGCCACGGAATGGAATATCCTGTACTAGTAAAAATCCTCTTAATATCCGTTTTACCGAGTATGCCTTGAAAGAGAATTCGGAAGAAGAAAAGGAGTTGTGTAAAAGCGTGAAACGGGTGATGGAGGTTATTGTTGGATTGTTGAAGGATAGGGTGGACGTGGAGAAGGAGCCGGCAACGAAAAAGCAACGGGTTCAAGAGTATTTTGAAAAACAGGGTAATCGTGTATATTAGCATAGACGTCATGTATCACGGGCTACGTCCCGATATGTATTTATTTATTTTTTTTTGCATGTATTAATAAAGCGGTTTACGTAATATTGAATAATTCTCTCGCCGAGAACATCATTAATCATAATTGGCAAAAAAGATATGTGTCAAGATAATGTAATTTTCCTTCTTGAAGTATGATACGATGAAAAATCGAAAATCATTATTCTTAAAGGATACAAAATTAAGGGATTCGTTGATCTATAAGCAAATAATTTATAACAATACATGAAACTCAAGAATCAATTGATATGTATGCTTATTTTTTTTTCATACTTCAACCAAAACAACCAAATAATCCGATTTATAACCAAACTTAAGCTTATTTTCTTTCCGCTCCGGAATGTATTGGTAGATCAGTTTTATGTTTTGCGTTTGTATTGTCCACTATGTAGAAAAAACATACAGACGTTTTGGATGATAAGGGATGGATTTGATACATGACGAATGATATGTTAACTAGTTATGATATGTCGCGTCGCTATACAGTATTCCTTAAACCATTATCCGAAAGCAAAGATTCTTATTTACTTAACAAATGTTCGCAGAAAATAGATTATCGTTTAATTATGTTATACAATTCTTGAATTCTTGTAATACAGAATAAGTTTAGTTTACATATACGGTAATTTAAAGGAAATACTAGAAATAGTGCAAATGAATATGCAGTAAGCAAAAAATAAAGAAATTTTTAGTCACTTCCTCGTTCCGGACAGTGCAATTGACAATTTAAGCATATTGTTGGTGCTGGTGAAAGTATATGCGGTGGTGATGATGATGTTGAGGGTATATGCGGTGGTGATGATGGTGTTGAGGGTATATGCACACGAACCTATACATAAATAATAAAAGTTAATGTGAATTGCGAGCATTAAATACTCCAGTTCTATCACTAATTTCACTTACATTCTTTTTTCCTCGGCATTTTCTCGGTGCCGGTCCCAAGTTATAATCGACCTTTTCTTTCTTGCGAAGATTAACTTCGCGGGTTTTGGTTGGTGCCATCCTCGAGGACTTGGGATGGAACCAGAAGGAAAAGCATCTTCGTTTGGATCTCCCTCGAAATTTGAGATAAATGAAACTTCGCTAACCTTGTCACTTGAACTTTCCTCACAGTTTGAGTCTCCTCCATGATCTCCCCCGAAATTTGAAATATCACCGAATGAAATTTCACTAGCACTGTCACTTGAACCATTTTTGTCGGAATTTTTGCTGATTGGGTCTCCTCCAGAGACCTTTGTTTTATTATTGTCTGCGAACTTACTAATAAATTTCGTAAGATCTGCTTTTGCAGCTCTTAGTTTTTCATCAATGTCTGATAGATCAGAAAGAATATGATCTTTCTTAATTTCGTACTCTGATACTTTCCGTCTCTACAAAATAACATATTAGTTAGTAATGGTACTTAGCCAATAAATAGAAAGATAATAACAGGAAGCAATAATATTACCAACTCGCACTCTTGAAGTACTTCATTCCAATATATTTCGATATCATTAGCACGCCGTTGTCGTTCTAAGTATATCTGTTGCAAAAAAATAACGTTAGCAGTCATTAAATTTTTATTTAGTAATAAAGAAAGGTGCATAGTCGATTCCTCCTCCAGAATCAACAGTCCTTTATTAACAACAAAGTTAGGATGCTTGAATAGAGGACTTGGAGTGGTTACCAAGTGGGTCATATTCAATGATTCTCCTGAGTCGATAACGCGCTCAACTAGAAAATAAGGGTGTCTGAATAGAGGACTTGGAGTGGTTACCAAGTGAGTCATATTCAATGATTCTCCTGAGTCGACGACGCGCTCAACTAGAAGTTACCCTTTCTTTGCAAAATAAAAAAACGCACCTTCTTATATAAGTCGTCATATTCCTGTTTGCTCAATTGTGCTTTCGATTCTTCCAAGAAATTTTTGTACCAAATTTCATCGTGATCTTGCCCAGCAGTAGTGAAGGTCGACATTAGCGATGCAACAACATCTCGATAGGTGCATAAAAAACCAAGAAAGGACTTTTTATAACGTTGTTTTAGGTATTTGACGAGCTCATTGTAGCCGTCGTAAACTTTTGACATGGTGTACTAAGATTAAAAATAGGTTAGAGAAAAGTTATGAACATTCAACAATCCTTATATACTGTAAACGCGAATTATGTAATAAAATCCAGATTTAGTCTGTTACACAAAAATGTCCCGAAATAATCATGTGAATTCGATCACCTGAAATGCGCCGGAAGAATTCTTGCCGAATGAATCGAATGAATAGGGGGCTGTGCGACACAAGATTTGCATTTTTGCAATTTATTTTTTGCATCGTATCTCTAGTATCATACTTACAAAACAATATTCAAACATAGATAGATTTTTTTGGCAATCTTTATTTTGCGTCGATTTGCAGGAGGGTAATTAATGATGAAATGCAATGCGTAATTACTAATGAAATCTGGCAATATCTTACTCCTGCGACGCTATAAAACTAGCGAGAAATGTTATCTTTTTTTTTCAGAAAACTTTACCATGGAAAATCAAGAGAGCGGAAACCTGAGTACTACTAATGATTACGACGGCCTGGATGACCTAATTTATTATTATGATGATGGTGGTTGTGGTGGAGAAAAAAGTAAGATTATGAAACCTTACAAACCGTCTCTTATTAATCATAGGAACATAGCTTATAATATCCTGAAGTATCTTGAGGATGATATGGTCGAGAATAAAGAAATTCTGGAGCTAGGGCAATGCTCCGAGTGTACAAACAATATTTTGACATCACCCATCAAAGTGCTCACCATCCTCTCTTGCGGTCATATTTTTCACAGGTCGTGCATCTAGAAGCAACTTCTACATACCAAACCCAGCACATGCTTATTTCCCAATTGTGGAAAGAATATCGATATTATTGTGAACCCAAATTCTATTAGAAGAGGTTCGTAATCATCACAATCTAGCAGAACTTCGGCTTTAACTAATTTGATAGGTAAAAAAGTTGTCCTGAATTCGCCAGTTATACCAGAAGAGGGAAGACCA